CGTTAAATTGATGTATTTTTAATGTATTCTTGTTCACATGCAAGTGTTAACATGTTTTTGTTTTATTTATAAAGATGTAATGCTTAGCTAGGTTCAATATGCTGTTTTTGCCTTATGGTATGTAAACTGTACTTAAATGCACTATTTAAAACCTATTTGATATATATGACACGAGGCCAAGGGCCACAAATTTTAAAGTTCAAGTGTATCTATTTAAATTTCAAGTTTTGCCTTTGAAATGTAATTTTTCTAACTTTGGAGGTTTGGCAAGTGATTTAGAGTAAATGACATGTAATGAGGTCATGGGCCATTGTAACATATTTTTATATATAATGTACGTTTGTTGGCATGTTTTACACAGCTTTAAATTTAATTTTTGGACCATTTCATGTTGGGGTTTGAGGCTTAGGTGAAGTCCTATCAATTCTGGTGTATAGCAGGTCTTTCAGCACCTTCTCAAGTCATTTCGGTCGACCGATAGCTTTTAGGATTTAATTTAAATAGTAAAAAGTCATTTTCCAGTAGCCTACGTACTATTTTGGTCACAACCGATCAACCAATTCTTCAATTCAGCCGAACAAAATGACTTTTCCTCAAAATTCAATTTTTGGTAATTTTGGGTCCATTTCGGCCGACATAAATAGCTCACACACAAAACTGCCCATCAGTTTTGTATCAGCTTTGTTCGTTTGACTTCAATTGGTCATAGCTCCTTCATTTCTAATCCAAATTGGGGTGATTCTTGAGCTTAAACTCAAGAATTTTTTGTTGGCTTTCCAATGGTACCAATTCCATTCCAGATTCAAATCACAGTGGGAGTTATTCATATTTTAGTAAGATAGTGTCAGATTTTGTTTAAATCGGGAATGGGAATCTTGTGGGATTCTTGGCCAAAATTCTTAGAACCTCTTACAATGTTGTAAAATAATTAGTTTAGGTTGTATAGACCTCATTTGACTTGCTTGGAGTCAAATTTCCATTCTCATTCATGAATTGACCATTTTGCCCTTGATTAATGAATCTTTGCCCGTTTTGACACTTATTTTCTCTTTCGTTCTCCTTGTGTTCCGTGACTTCATAGAAGATCACTTTGGAGTCTTAGGGATGATTTATATTACTAGACACCTTTGTTTTATCTTTCACTTCTACATTTCGGATCCGTTACTGGGTCAACTTTTAGGTTATCATTGACGCACCGGGTTACAAAATCAGGGCCGTCACAGGTGGTATCAGAGCTCCTAGGTTTAAAAACCTATGACGACGGGTTTTAGGTGCATATCATGCTTGTGTTACCATGCTCTATGTGTTTATATGCTTCATGATAACATGTTTTGGTTTGATAACATGTTTGAGTGTTTATGTGCTATATGTGGTATGCCGTTTGTTTAACATGATTGTATTCTAATGTAAAGAGCATGACATATGATGTATGCTAGATTAGATTGGTATATGCATGATTTTTTTGCATTTTTGACAGGACTTGGGATTAGTCATGGGATGTTTGACTTGAGGTTGAGTTACTTGGTGAGTTAGCACTTGGGGCGGTGGTTGGTGTGTCTGGTTCTATTTAGGCACACTTCTTTGATTTTTTTAGCAATTGTCAGCACGGTTTTACAGTAGTTTAGGTCGTTGTTGGCCTAGCATTGGCTTTAGATAGGTGGAGGGTCACTTTTTGTTTAGGCTCTCGTGAGATGAGCCATTAGGTATAACCGTAGTACTTGACTTGTTGGTTTCGCGCCATGATGAGGTTATGGACACTGTAATACCCCTAATTTTAAAAGGACAGTCCTGGAATTTTATTTAATTATTTTAAATGGTTTTTAATTATTTAATTGGTTGTTTGCTTGTTTTAATTGACTAGAGTGGATTTTGTTTTCTTTAGTTGACTTAATTGTTTTAATTATTTGATTTAATTGTTTTAGTTGGGTGTTTAAATTTCATTTATTTGCTTATTTGATTTATTTTATTTTAATTCAATTAATTGTGTATTTTTCTTTAATTGATTGTTTAAATTTATTTTCTTACATTAACTATTAAAGTGTATTTCTCTTTTACAAGCACGTCTAAATTTAAAAACGCTAACCGACTTAGGTAGTGGATGGATTCTAGAGTTTTATGTTTGAACCTAGCCAACTTAGGGTAGGTGTAGGATTTAAATTAGGGTTTCAATTAAAACCTATAAATATATAAGTATAGGTCTGCCAAGGGTTTTGTTAACCCTATTCACGTAACAAAGTCCTACAAAGAGTTGTGAGGGCAGAGAGAGAACCAGAGAGGGAACTTGAATGATTCACAAAACAGAATCAAGGAGGGAAGTTTGGTGTGTGTAACTGGACTGTAATAGGAGCAGCAAGGGCTGTTAAACACAACGAATGTGGCCGGAGAAGATAGAGGCAACAGTTAGAGATTTTGTATCCAAAGTCTCAAAGGCAAGTTTCTGTTCCTGCTCTTTCCCTTTAATTCGTGTTATGTGCATGCCTAGCTAGACTCCAGGGGTTTAAATACATGCTAAAACTGATTTAATCATGCATGCTTAACTAGATTAAAACAGAGGGTATATGTTTTTAGTTTCAGTTTCTTACTTTGAATGGTTGTGGAAGTTTTGATGCATAATTGTTGTTTAAGATAAATCTTTGCATGTTAAAATACTTAAAATAGTTTAGTATGGACGTATGGGATGTAGGTTGAAGCTTAGAGGCCTTAACAATGGAGTTTTGGGGCTTATAGGGGCTGAACGGACGAAAAAGACGGCTTCAGCATCACCTTAGCCGACTCGGTTGGGAACTGAGTCGACTAAGTTGGCAACTTAGCCGACTCAGTGGGAAACTGAGCCGACTAAGTTAGGAACTTAGCCAACTCAGTTGGGAACTGAGCCGACTAAGTTAGCAACTTAGCCTGCTCAGTTGGCAATTGAGCCGACTAAGTTGGGCCGCAACTTGGATTTTAGTTTTAATTGCCCATAATTGTGTTGGAACCTATTTTGATTAATCTAAATGGGTTAAATGGACTTTGGAGGGTTCTAGGAAGCATAATACACTTCTTATATTAAAGGAATTAGGCAATATGGATTTATAAATAATTTTTATAAATTATTTAAGGGATAGTTTGTTGTTTAATTGTTTAACAGTTGTGTTAAATTGTTCTAAATGATATATATTATTGTTTTAGACCTTTAAGATTATAGGTAAACAATGATTCACAAATGGATTAAGTTATGGACAGTGTATAGTTAGGGGAGATCCTACATGTTGAGCTTTGCAAATGCTAATCAGTTTACACTTTAGAACTTGGAGGATTACTTTTATATGAATTAATTTTAATTAATCATATTTGGATAGGATTATAACTAACATGGATTACCTGAATTTAACCATGCTTGTGTTGGATCAAATTAATATTCACTTTGCAATTCAACTGTATCAGTTTATGGATATTTTGGAGGATGTGAACGCTTATACTTGTTTAGCTGTTTACATTATTGAAATTGGATTTTTAGGCTCTCTAATGACTGCCTAGTATTGATATACTTGTGTTAATTTATATTGATGCATGCTTTGAAGGATAGTTGTTGGATGTATATAATAGTGTCGTTTATTTAACTATGCTATCTGGAGGATTATATGTACCGGTATGGGACGGTGACATACTAGGTATGGACTAGTTCAAACACTGTGTTCTACCTAACTTGGATTGAGTTATGGACCAACCATAAAGGTTAACTTGGATTGGTTTCAGGATGAATTTGTTATACATATATCAAACCACAATACAGATGGTTAATATTTTGTATTAGGAGTACAAAATTTATATATTTATTATATGGTGCCACAGCATGAGCATGAGTCTCAGGACCATGGTTCGGGTGCGTATATCACCTAGGATGGATAACTGGATATAGGTGTTGTTCCCTGGTAGGTCTAAGTACTCATGCCCACCTTAGGGTGCGTATTCGCATGTTGCCTTCTATTCAAGCTGAGACAGATCTATTGGACTAGCGAGCGTCCTATAGTGTGTACTGTATATATATATATGGACTACTCTAGATATTGTTGAGTCTATCTAGGATGTATTTGCGTATCGGATTCCTGTTTGGATTGTAGTAGAATAGGACTTGCATGTGGGCCTGACCCACTCTTTTATTTTTTAGGTGTTCGTCAGTTCCAGGGTTAGAGCTTGGATGAGTAGAACAGATACAGACACTCATTCCTGCGACTACGTAGGAATACTCTCTATGTTTAGCTTTAGATTTTACTTCAATTGTTTTAGTTTCAGTTTGGGATTTTAATAAGGGGTCCACTGGATGGATTCCCGAGTTGTATGGATTGGAGGTTTTGGGAAGTTGGATTTTATTATTATGATTTAAGGATTTTATTATTTAATATTCGTTCAGTGTTATTATTTATTTCATTATTTTGTATTCCGTGTTCGTTTTAACATATTAATTGTTTAGTATTCCCTCAGGTTCGGGCTTGGGCTTGATCAACCCGTGTCTCGGATCCGAGGGGTATCACAGTTAGTATCAGAGTATTCCAGGTTCATGTGTTTCTAGGATGTTTCATATTAAGACTTCCGCGTAGCGTTCTCTCTTGTTTAGAGCTTAAGATTAGGATTCGTTGAATTCCTTTACGGTCCATTTACAATCTTACTGATGTCTGTCTGTCTATGTTAACAGTATGGTTAACGCTAGAAGAGGACAGAACATGAACAGTCGACAGAGGAGATTGGCACGTAGGCAGCAAGAACGTCTGCGGCATCGGCAAATGGGGGAAGAGTAGCAAGTGCCTAGGTTGTAGGAGGAAGATAGTCAGTTGCAGATAGAGCATGAGGAAGTTCAGCATACTCAGAAGTCTCGGCATCAGGCCTACAATCAGGGCAGGAAACCGTGTTTTCTCCTCAGTTAGTTTACACCATTGTTCAAGCTGTAGCAGAGGGCATAACAACTGCACTTCAGAATCAGCTACACGTTCAGCAGACACTAGAAGCATTACCAGTGGTGCAGAATGTGTTTAAAGGACATTGTTATACCTGCGGAGATTATGGGCATACAACCAGACAATGTATCGGGTTCGCCCACAGACAACCGAATGGGGTACCACAGGCAGGACGGGATCACTTACGGCCTAACCAGCAAAGGATGCCGTTTGGTATTTTTAGAGGTACTTGCTATTCTTATGGAGAGTACGGTCACACTTCCAAGCAGTGTCCTAGACAAGGAGATACCGGGCCGTCCAAGTAGGAGGGTACCGAATCACAAGGAGGATGGTTCTTTTAAGAGTAATTTTAATTACTAGTAGTGGAGGAGGTATTAGTATGATGTAGTACGGATTTAATCATGTACATTAGGATTATGTTAAATAAATAAATACCTTACGATTATTTGTTTGACAGTTTTGGTTTGGAAAAGTTCTTAATAAAATGAACTCACGGTTTTGGTTATTTTATTTTGTTTTGTGATGGCTTGTGTGTGAGTTATACACATATGGTTTTATTAAGCTGTATTAGAATGTGTAAGTTGGGATAATAAATGTCTATCACAGTGGAGTGATTGGTTTTGCTCAGGCAAACAGATAATTGCTTGTGGTACATTATGTTTAGACAGGACGATTACCAAGGAGTTTATAAAAGAGCTTGTGTAAGTCAAAATGGTAGTTTTGGTTTAGAAGGAAGAATTCCCAGGATAGAACGATAATCTAAAAGTGGGAAGATTGTGGAGCATTTTATTTTTACCTTATGTGTTTAACTCTACGGAGTATTCAGAAACATGGGATTTTCATGGATTGGGTGGTGACACACATATGCAATAGGCCTCGGGATATTTTTACACTGTTAGGCAATACAGCCATTTTACTTGGGAGTGATTTGCCTATGACACTAGATATTGGTAGACTCAGATTTCTAACCAATCTAGTAGTCCTAGACATGCACATATTTGATGTGATACTTGGGATGGGTTGGTTATCCCTTCCATGCTCAAGTTATTTGTTTTGGATAGGTCTATTGTGTTCACTATACCTGGTCATGATGTTTACGTCGTCGCTATGCCACATTTTAACGGGGACACTAGCACTTATTTGTTTTGTATAGAGGAAGAGAGGATTACTGTATAATTGGATAGCGCACCAACTATACAGGACTTTCCGGATGTCTTTCAGGAGATTCCAGGATTGCCACCTAATCGCGAGATCGATTTTTTTATTGACTTAGCTCCGGGCACGACGCCTATTGCTAGGGCACCATACAGGATGGCACCACTAGAGATAAGAGAGCTGAGGGATCAGATTCAGCAATTGCTCAGTCAGGGTTTCATTCGTAGGAGTACATCACCTTGGGGAGCACCGGTTTTATTTATGAAGAAGAAGGATGGTTCGCTCCGACTGTGTATAGATTACAGAGAGTTTAACAAGGTTACAATTCGTAACAAGTATCCTTTGCCCAGGATTGATGACTTGTTTGATCAGTTGAGGGGAGCCACGTACTTCTCCAAGATTAATTTGCGTTCTAGGTATCATCAGCTGAGAGTTAGGGAGCAGGATGTTCCGAAGATCGCGTTTCTTACGAGATATGGATCTTATGAGTTCCGTGTCATGCCGTTTGGGACGACTAATGCACCAGCAGTGTTCACAGATTTAATGAATAGAGTCTTCTGGGCTTATTTGGATCAGTTTGTCATTGTCTTTATTGATGATATCTTGATTTATTCTCGGTCGGAGGACGATCATGCTAGACATCTTCGGATAGTCTTACAGATGCTTCGTGAACATCAGTTGTATGCCAAGTTTGAGAAGTGTGAATTTTGGCAGCGGGAAGTGAAGTTTCTGGGTCACGTGGTGTCAGAAAGGGGGATAGCAGTGGATCCAGCCAAAGTTTCAGCAGTGGTCGAGTGGGGACAGCCTACTTCACCTACCGAGATACGGAGTTTCCTCGGTTTGGCAGGATATTATCAGAGGTTTATCCAGGGGTTCTCTAAGATAGCTGGACCACTCACGTACCTAACTAAAAATGGTGTACAGTTTGTGTGAAATGAGCACTGTCAGCGAGCTTTTGATGAGCTCAAAAGGAAGTTGACTTCTGCACCAGTTCTATTTACTCCACAGAGCGGGATCGAGTATCTTATTTATACGGATGCTTCATTGCAGGGTCTTGGATGTGTTTTAATACAGGAGGAGCGACCGATTTCGTATGGATCTCGAAAGCTTAAGCCTCACGAGTTTAATTATCCAACGCATGATTTGGAGTTAGCAGGTGTGGTTTTTGCTTTACGTATTTGGAGGCATTATCTGTTGGGTGAGTCCTTCAGATTATTCAGCGACCATAAGAGTCTGCAGTATTTGTTCACTCAGCAAGAGCTGAATATGAGACAGCGCAGGTGGTTGGAGTTTGTGAAAGACTATCACTTCTCTATCCAGTATCATTCAGGGAAAGCGAATGTGGTGGCAGATACACTCAGTCGCTGACCTGTTGGTAGTCTTTCTGCTCTATTCACTACTGAGTGGAAGGCTTTGAAGACGGTGGATGAGTTGTCGGATGCTTTATTGGCTTGCATGGTAGTTACACCTTCTATCATTCACAAGGTTTTGAAGGCACAACTCATGGATCAACAGTGCATTGACAGAATTACAGAAATAGCTTCCGGGGAGGTTCCATTTTAATATGTTGGGGCTGATCGAGGTTTAAGGTACAAGGGACGGTTAGTGGTACCTTCTACTGACGAGTTGAAGAAGGATGTAATGACGGAGACTCACCATTCTGAGTTTTCTGTTCATCCAGGACGAGACAAGATGTATCAAGGTATGAAACGGCAGTTTTGGTAGGCAGGTATGAAGAGGGATATTGCTTTATTTATCTCTCAGTGTAGTACTTGTCAGATGGTTAAGATTGATCATCAACGGCTGCCAGGAGCTCTACAGCCACTGCAGATACCAGAGTGGAAATGGGAGAGCATTTCTATGGATTTTGTGGAGGGATTGCCCAATTCTTTCAAGAGTTATAAATTCCATTTGGGTCATCGTGGACAGATTGACAAAATCAGCTCATTTTTTGCCTATTCGCACTGACTTCACTTCGGAGCAGTTAACGAGACTATACATTACAGAGATTGTGAAGTTGCATGGCATTCCATCATCTATTATATCAGACAGGGATTTGAGCTTCGGGTCAGGGTTTTGGAAGAGTTTTCAGTAGGCTTTGGGTACAGAGTTGCATCTTAGCACTGCGTATCATTCTCAGACTGATGAACAGACTGAGAAGGTTAATCAGATCATGGAGGATATGCTTCGGTCGTGTGTTCTTGATTTCAAGGGCCACTGGGAGGATTATTTACTGCATGTGGAGTTTGCCTATAACACTAGCTTTCAGAAGACTATTGGGATGGCATCGTTTGAGGCGTGATACGGCCGACCGTGTCGATCGCCTGTTTATTGGATGGTAGTTGGAGTAGGTAGAAGAGTTATGCTGATCGTCACACTCGTGCTTTGGAGTTTTAGGTTGGGGATCAGGTTCTACTCAAAGTGTCACCTATGAAAGGAGTAATGCGCTTTGGGAAGAAAGGAAAGTTATCACCACGGTTTGTCGGTCCTTTCATGATTACGGATCGAGTTGGGGCTGTAGCTTATAGGTTGGCATTGCCGGATAATTTGGATCGCGTACACAATGTGTTCCATGTTTCCATGTTGCGGAAATTTTTGCGAGATGAGGATCGGTATCAGCATATTGATGTTGGGGAGATAGAGTTGCAGCCGAATGCAACATATTTGGATCAAATCCTTCGTAATAGAATTATTCCTTTTGGTTCGAGTTCAGTGGAGTGATCACCATGAGACTGAGTCCACTTGGGAACGAGAGGATGTCATTCGCTCGCAGTTTCCTGGATTATGGGAAGAAGGTAAGAGCGAATTCCGAGGACAGAATTCCTTTTGTTAGGGGGGAAGAATGTAATATCCCTAATTTTAAAAGGACGGTCTTGGAATTTTATTTAATTATTTTAAATGGTTTTTAATTATTTAATTGGTTGTTTGCTTGTTTTAATTGACTTGAGTGGATTTTGTTTTCTTTAATTGACTTAATTGTTTTAAGTATTTCATTTAATTGTTTTAGTTGGGTGTTTAAATTTCATTTATTTGCTTTTTTGATTTACTTTATTTTAATTCAATTAATTGTGTATTTTTCTTTAATTGATTGTTTAAATTTATTTTCATGCACTAACTATTAAAGGGTATTTCTCTTTTAAAAGCACGTATAAATTTAAAAACGCTAACTGACTTGGGTAGTGGATGGATTCTAGGGTTTTATGTTTGAACGTAGCCGACTTAGGGTAGGTGTAGGATTTAAATTAGGGTTTCAATTATATCTATAAATATATAAGTATAGGTCTGCGAAGGGTTTTGTTAACCCTATTCATGTAACAAAGTCTTACAAAGAGTTGTGAGGGCAGAGAGAGAACCGGAGAAGGAACTTAGGTGATTCACAAAACAGAATCAAAGAGGGAAGTTTGGTGTGTACAACTGGACTATAATAGGAGCAGCAAGGGTTGTTAAACACAATGAACGTGGCCGGAGAAGATAGAGGCAACAGTTAGAGATTTTGTATCCAAAGTCTCAAAGGCAAGTTTTTGTTCTTGCTATTTCCCTTTAATTCGTGTTCTGTGCATGCCTAGCTAGACTCTAGGGGTTTAAATACATGCTAAAACTGATTTAATCATGCATGCTTAACTGGATTAAAACAGAGGGTATATGTTTTTAGTTTCAGTTTCTTATTTTGAATGGTTGTGGAAGTTTTGATGCATAATTGTTGTTTAAGATAAATCTTTGCATGTTAAAATACTTAAAATAATTTAGTATGGACGTATGGGACGTTGGTTGAAGCTTAGGGGCCTTAACAATGGAGTTCTGGGGCTTACAGGGGCTAAACGGACGAAGAAAATGGCTTCAGCATCAACTTAGCCAACTCAGTTGGGAACTGAGCCGACTAAGTTGGCAACTTAGCTGACTCAGTTGGGAACTGAGCCGACTAAGTTAGGAACTTAGTCGACTCAGTTGGCAATTGAGTCGACTAAGTTGGGCCGCGACTTGGATTTTAGTTTTAATTGCCCAGAATTGTGTTGGAACCTATTTTAATTAATCTAAATGGGTTAAATGGACTTTGGGGGTTCTAGGAAGCATAATACACTTCTTATATTAAAGGAATTGGGCAATATGGATTTATAAATAATTTTTATAAATTATTTAAGGGATAGTTTGTTGTTTAATTGTTTAACAGTTGTGTTAAATTGTTCTAAA